CACTGTTGATACCGGTAATATTGTTCTCAGCACTCATATCAACTTCGATTTCGTCATTTTCTTCGGTTGCCATACTAAATATCTGCTATAAAAAACGGTTCTTTCGGTTGCCACGTCCTGGCAGGATCGCCAAATGTTAACTAGTCTCTCCGATTATAAATAAAGAACAATATATTTTACCAAAAAAGCTATAAAAGTGCACATCTTCGAATGATTATCTATCAGTTTTTCTTGTTCGAGCCTAGAGAGCTCGAGAGCATGCTGTCGACCCAGTCTTTTCTCTCGGCCGGAAACTGCGTTACTAGTTAATTATGTCATAAATTAACAAAACTAAACATTAATAATATGCTTCTCAACAATGACATCATGCTGTTGAAACACGAATACGAAGTACGGTCCAGCCTGCCTTTGGTTTGTTGATAAACTAGTTGAAAAGTAAAGTTTATATACTGTTTTTGCCGATATACAGTTTAACATCGTCCTTTAAATGAAATATTTCAAATAATGGTTTTTCTTATTATGTGCCGTATTTGACGTAATATAGTGTTCTTGTTCCATACGAATAATAGATATATACAAGACACAATACTTATATAAACTCGCGCACTACCTCTCAATTTGATTTGAAAAACTTCCTGTTTTGAATTCATCTTGGATTGCTTTTAAATTGTCGTTGAGAACGTCCTATAGCTGTTTCGAATTGACCTTGGATTGCTTAATTGTCGCTTAAAAACTTCCTGTTTGAATTGGGCTTGGATTGCTTTTAAATTGTCGTTGAAAAACGTCCTGTTTTGAATTTTCCAAAAACTTGAATATCTTCTGAACTCTTCAGAATTCGCCATTCGAGCGCCATTAAACCGAATATATAAACCTGTAAAATCCTATTGCACCGGTGCAATGCGTGCTACGGGCTGTTTGAGAAAGGGTTACTAACATTATCGATATAGGTTCACTCACTCCGCCTCTCCAACTAGCATGCATATTTTCATGAGTGAAATTTCTTCTTTCGTGTTGATTGTTAAAGACATCTCTAGAAAAATTATGAGCATATATTTTTAACCATTCTATTTGACGCAGTTTTATGTTTTGTTTGAACAAAAATTTCTCAATTTTTGATCAAGCACTTGTTTCTGTATGATTCACATCAGTCATTAAAATAATCCATGTAAACGTTCACGTCTATAGTAAGTTAGTAAGTCTGCAATAACAATATACTTGATTAAATTTGAACGCAATTAGGAAGACAAACGTATTAAACTATAAGGGAACCGGGTCTGTGCCATGAGTGTAGGTATAGTACCAATAATAGAGACCTTACGATTTTAGGACGGCAACGCGACGGCGATGGCTACCAATACAATTATTATAAATTGTCCTCGCTCTGTTTACAACGCCAAATCACAGATTTTCAAGTCTTGATACAACGGCTGCATTTCAAGCCGCAACAAGTGCATGCAAACTTCAAACTGCCGGGTTCAGGAGAACTCTTCCCAACCATAAAACCCATGTCTTCAACTTCTAAGACTGCATGTATTAAATTCATACGATTAATAATGCACGACGAATTATCTTTACTACCATTTATTTGAAGGAGTTTGTTTTGGCCGTCGTCGTCGCGTTGCCGTCCTAAAATCGGAAGGTCTCTATTAACAAGGAAGAGCCAACTTCCCAACGAGGTACAGTCACTTCCCAACGAAAAGCCTTGAGTTCGCTCGAAACGTCGAAGTTTTCCTTGCATTTCTTCATATAGGTACATAGTTCTATCCCTATTTCGATCCGCAGCTTAGTCGCATGCATTAAAAGCGTGCCAGAGGAGATCTGAGACGAGGATGTGAAACTGTAATTTTAGCAAACACCATTATTATAGTTTTTACATATGCTTTTGTTAGTTTAATATACTCAACATATAGCTTTCGAATTAAGTTTGATATGTAGTTAAAATAATAATTACGAAAAACTTCCCCATTTTTTGTCACCCATGCACTCACTCGATTTACACGTTTATATTAAGTTGAAAAAGTTCCTAAAATGTGGGCGATTCTTGAGATATAATGTGGGCGATAATGTCTTGTGATAATAATCCCCACCTTAGCGATTTGATCAAATTACGAAGCTCCTGAAAATTTTGAACAATTATAATGGCACACCATGTCGCTGTAAAGTCAAACAGGTAAAGCATGTGTACATGCATAGTTAGGACATCCTACTACCGGGTGGGGCAAAAAAAAGTACGACTCTTTGAATTGTTATAACATCCGAACTAAAAGAGCAATGACAATAACACACGTTTATTGGCATTCAGCGATGTCTAACTTAAATTTTGATATATGCTATGCACATTTCCATGCCATATTGACAAAGATACATGCATTTGAACAAGAGTAACATTTTATTTTGAAACTAAGAGAATTAAGCTAAAAACGGCCTATTAAATATTAATACCTTTATATACAAAAACAACTTGTGTTAAGACGCGTTATACTCTATAGTCAGTACGTTAACGCTTGTTGTTCAAAAGCAATCATCTATTCATCAGCAAATTCATGTCCCCCGGCACAATTGCAACATCTTGCCCGTAAAATGGGACAGCTCGTTCTAGACTCATTAGAACATACAGACTACCTATCCCACGGGTATCGGATACCTTCTAGGAACAAAACTTTTAATAAAATCGGCCTTATAAGTTCACATCCATTGCCCAACATCGTAAAACAAAAAATAAAAAGTCTGTGAATGAAGAAATATTTCTATAACTCGACTTCACTTCATTGAAACAATAATCGCGAACAAATCGTAACGGTTATTGAATTAGTTTAATAGGGGCTTTTCAGCTAATTATTGGCGGTTCCAAAAATGCTTGCGTAAGTTTAAACACAATTATCTCAGTCATAATCGCATGAAAATGCACCAGACATATATCAAAATATAAGTTGAACATCGCGGAATATAGGGTGATTTATTTAAGTGTAATAGCTCTTTAGGTAAATGAAACTAACAATATATTAAAGTCAAGCTGCTTGAAGAAAAAGCTTGCATTTTTAGACAATAGTAATATTAGTCGCTCTCATTTAAATAGTAGAGGACTGCATTTAAACCGAGAAGGTAGCTCTTTGCTTCAGGCAAACGTTTCATATTTCTTAAGTTCGCATAATTGAAATGAGGACGGGTCGAGGAGGAGTGCTAATGATGCCTGTTTAAATATTCCGAAAACAAGGGGTTTTAAGATGGCTATGCTTAATGTAGTTAGCCTTCCGAAACGCCTTGATGAAATCCGATTATTACTTCACGATAAATATTTAGATGTTTTAGCAGTTAATGAAACCCGTTTGGACTCCACTATTTCCGATGGGATTGTTAGCATTGAAGGTTATGACTTGCTACGTGCTGATCGGAATAGAAATGGAGGAGGGGTATGTATTTATACAAGACGCCATATAAATTATGAAAATCGCCCTGATCTAGTTCCAACAGACCTTGAAGCTGTCTGTGTGGAAATTAAGCAGGCTAATAGTCAATCTTTTATAGTTTCAAGTATTTATAGACCACCATGTTCCGCTAGTGAAGTGTTTATAAAAATTGAGAGGCTAATCAAATCAATTGATGATGAAAATATAGAATTTTATATTTTAGGAGATTTAAATTGTAATATGCTAGAACCAACTTTGTCCACCACTAGAAAGCTTCAAGACGTTTTGGAATTATATCAGCTTACACAATTAATTAATAACCCTACGCGTATTACCCAGTCTAGCCAATCATTATTGGATGTAGTAATTGCGTCAATGCCTGAAAAAATAATTTTTTCAGGTGTAGCCCATCTCGGAATTAGTGATCACAGCCTCATTTATAGTATTCGGAAAATAAGTACAAGAATAAAATCTGATTTACAAGGTTCTGTCGAGTATAGAAATTTTAAGAATTTCAATGTTTCAGGCTTTCTATATGACTTACAAAATATACCCTGGGAAGAAATAAGATTTAAAAGAAATGTAGATGAAATGTGGCGGTTATGGAAAACGTTTTTTGTAGATGTGCTGGATAAACATGCCCCTGTGAGAGTAAAAAAATTAAGAAAAGGGGGTAATATTCCTTGGGTAAGCCGGGAAGTAAAGGAAAAATTATTTAAAAGAGATGCTCTTAAGCGTAAAGCAATAAAGACAAATAAAGAAGAAGACTGGAGACTATATAAGTCATCTAGAAATGTTGCCAACACTGCTTTGCGCAGGGCTAAAAGAGATTATTATGCAAACAAATTCACAAATAATAAACAGAATCCTAAATATGCTTGGAGAACAATAAACGATATATTAGGTCGAAACAGAAAACAGACTACGATTAATGAAATTAAACTCCCAGGTAAAACTGTTACATCGACCGACGATTTAGTCGACATTTTTAATGATCATTTTAGTAATATTGGCCCAAAGCTTGCTGAGTCTATTCCAAATGACAATGACGTTAGTTTTCGAGATTTTATTACTCAACAAAAATCTAAGACAAAGAACAGTTTCTCATTTCGACCAGTGAGTGTAACATTGGTTTACACTCTTCTAGTTAATTTGTCTACCACCAAAGCGACTGGAATGGATAAATTTTCAGCTAAAATTCTACAAATAGCAGCTCCAGTTATTGCACCTTCTCTTACTGAGATTTTTAATATGTCAATTGACTCGGATCAATTTCCTTCTGATTGGAAAGCTGCAAGGGTTATTCCATTGTTTAAGAAAGGTCAGCGGTCCATGTTGGACAACTATAGACCGATATCAATCCTTCCTGTAGTAAGTAAACTTATGGAAAGAATTATGTATGATCAAATGTATGAGTATCTTAACCAGAATAATCTTTTCTCAAAACACCAATTTGGTTTCAGACCTTATCATTCCACAACTACTACATTATTGGATTATACGAACGAATGGTATACCAACATGGACCGTGGGCTGTATAACTTAGTTGTTTTTCTTGACCTAAAAAAAGCATTCGATACAGTCGACCACGAAATACTGTTAAGTAAGTTTGAAATGTATGGTTTCCAAAGGAAAGCATTAAATCTTTTACGTTGCTATTTGACGCACCGAACTCAAAGTTGTCAATTGGCCAGCATACTCTCGGTGGAGAAAGAAATCATTTGTGGCATTCCTCAGGGAAGTATACTCGGCCCTCTCTTATTTATTATGTATATAAATGATCTGCCAAGCTGCCTAGAACGCACAACTCCAAGAATGTTTGTTGATGATACTAACTTAACGGCAGTAGGCAGAACAATTAGTGAGGCGGAAGAGAGGGCGAACGTAGACATGAGGAATGTTCAGAAATGGCTTTGTGCAAATAAACTAAGTCTAAATATAGCGAAAACCGAGTATGTTTTAATTGGAACAAGACATAAAATAAGTAATATTGATACCCATCAAGGAGTTAAAATAAATAATCAATTGATTAAAAAAGTTAAAAATACCAAAGCTCTTGGAGTTGAATTAGACGAAAACTTGAGTTGGGAAACACACATTAACCATATTAGCAGTAAAATATCATCAGGTATTGGGGCTATTAGAAAAATGAGGGAGTATGTCGAACAAGACATTTTGATAAAAGTTTATAATGCCTTAATCCAACCTTATTTTGATTATTGCTGTGAAGTATGGGATACACTTAATAAAGGCCTAAGTGAACGTCGGCTAGGTTGATCATGAACTTAAAAAATGAACATGGTCAGTCTATTTTGGCACGAAAATCTCTAGGCTGGGTAACACTTGAAGAGCGTAGGGCACAAATGAAAGCCAGGCTCATGTACAAGACAGTTAATGGTTTAGCCCCCAACGACTATGCGAAGCTTTCCAAAATCTGAATACCATTCATGACCATAATTTGAGAGGTTCTTCAACAAGGTTTTATATTCCAAGACCAAAAACGGAATCCTTAAAAAAAAGCTTCCAATATAGTGGGGCTAAACTATGGAATCAGATACCTGAAGAGATACGCAATTCGGTATCGTATAATTCGTTCTGTAAAAAGCTATCTTCCTCGACCTTAATTTCGACTTAAAGTAGTAGTTAATTTTTTGTCTAAATAGGTATATAATTGTATTTGTTATGTATGTAATATTAGAGCTAGTATATAAATAATAATTTGTAAGTACACATCCCTTTTGGAAATCAGCTTTTGCTGAAAAGGCCAATGTGTTTAAATAAAGTTGATCTATCTATCTAAGGTGCATGGTACAAAAAATACAACTATATAGGACTTCTGGCAGGAATTGAACTTGCGGCCCTGCGATTCCAGTGCAGCGCTATGACCAACTGAGCTACGGAGTCCGTGCAGTTGGGTTTATGCATATATATATATATATATATATATATATATATATATATATATATATATATATATATATATATATATATATATATATATATATATATATATATATATATATATATATGTGTTTTGTCCAGGATTGTCTGTATATTTCAAATTCAATAACCAAGGCATTGCGCATTAAAAATTGAGTTCTATGCTGGACTTTCTCTTTCCGTATAGTAAATATGACTCACTAGAATGTATTAGGCTTCAAGAAGCAAATACCATATGGTCGACAAGGTAATATAACACCCTCATGCAATGCAATGCTATGCTTTGATAGCTTGTATAGAATGCGATTAAGAATCGTATGCGACGACTTTCCCGCATTTAATATACGTCGGAGAGCAAGTCAATGTACTTGGTAGTGTATATACCAACTATCTTACAGTAAGAATATTCTAAAATACGTTAATCCATATTTATTTGTGTTGTTAGACAGACAAATGCTTAGCTCTTGACTGGAAATATATTGCGTGACCGCCGCGCTAAATGACTAATCCGATTTTGTTATTGTCGTATAATTAATAGCGCATGCGCATTGACGGTGTACCACGGTACAGCGTGAACATATAAGAATATATATATATATAACCTTTTGTAGGGTTAAAATGGTACACCGTGGAATATTTTAAAATTATCGCGCTAAATATTGTCTGAAGTAGGTTGGAATACTAAGCAACACACGTTCTTTCAAGTCCATTTCATTGGTTTGCACTACCCCTATATTAACCGCAATATTATCACAGTTTAGTGCATTGGCTGTGGTACACCGTTAGGGGTTACACTGAAAAATTGAGCATTGATTGACCACACCTGGAAAACTTGTGTCAAAATGCATAATTCACATTTATATATATAGTTGTCACTTAATATTCTAGTTATATGCAGTAAATACCAGAACTATATTGAATTTATTGTCACTTAGTTCTACTGGATATCACACACATTGGCGTTTATGTATAGACTGAGTGTATAACTCCTATCAATATAAGTAGGTCATAAGCAATGCACATAAACGAAATACATGGCAAGGACATGTATAAAAAGCGAAATATAAAAGAATATAATTTCGACTCATTTCAGACAATCCTGGACAAAACATCTGCGACACTTCCAATTACTTGACAAAATGTCGTAATATTATCGTAAATTTAGAAAACCTCCCCCTTTCCCCCACCATTCAATGTTGACTGCATTCGTAGAATACGGATAAAACGTCCAACATTGTTTTGGGGGATGGAGGGGGGCAAACGAGTACATTATTCCGGTCTAACTGGTAAAAAATCCATAAAGGAATGTTTTAATAGAGTGTCGCAGATGGTTTTGTCCAGGATTGTAGCTGATATAAATAAGCTGCTGACTTATAATTTTATATCAAAACTATCCACTGGTACTTATTCATGTATACATCGATCCGTATCTTTGATAGATAAACCACTGTGCTATAATACTATCAACCTCAGTTGCAATACACTCTAGTCTACACGATTTCACATCGCCGCTCAATAGTCACCGCTCGTCCATGTTCGCCATTGTAAAATGGTAACATATATTCTATGATATGAGAGCACATGTATTATGGACGCGTATTTATGTTGCAGGGGGGCAAATCATATAATAACAAGTGCTTGAAATGCAACAGTAATTTAGTTATAACTTCTCTAAATGTCGGATGAATAAGTAAGAACATGTATCATCATGAATATAGATTGTTATAATCTACAAACAGCTATGAACGTCTAGTTGGGCCGGCTTAACGTCGCGAAGCTCTAGAAAACGTATAAAATTAATTTGCAAGCTCCCCCCGGATTGTTTACTCTATCGATCCATTCATCGGTCAGTGCATGAATTTAACCTCATAACAATACGGCAAAGCAACTTTGCACTAAAAAGGCACCCCCTGTTCTGGAAAATTTATCTTTACTATTTTTCGTTCATTCCACATTATAACTACCCAAACAATGTATATCAAAATTACCTACCTTTTTATATACTCTGTATATATACTATTGATACACCCTGTATATAAACTATTCCAGCCAGAAAATGAACCCCAGTCAGAAAGATGTTAAGGAGATGTACTCTGCCATTAATGTCCCTAAATCTGAGTGTCGAGAGGTCAACTTGGCTTGTTAGTGTAGTTTGTTCGTCCTTTCGTGCATTTATTTAATAAATACCTGATTGCCATCACCAAGTTATGATCTTAAATATATATGTTGCTATTATATTGATTACTGTATTCAAGTTTCTGCCAACATAAATAGATATGGACCAGTATTATTAGGGCAAAGAATGGGGTTAAAGTTGTCTTGCATCCATGTTATCATAACTTGGAATGTAATAGATATCTTCAGTCATCATCGTTAGGGTTATGTGTGGCATTGAAACAATTTTTAATAACTATCCTAGTCCATTTAAAATCGATATGCTCTGATCCTTCTTATTGTGGTGGTTGTTATTTGGAGCTGCTAATTTATTGTCAGTGTCTATTTTTTATGTAGAAGAAGTGATAAAACGTCATAATACATACATCTGGTTTGTGTTGTGATACGGGTTTGTAGACATTAGAGACGACGTCCTGTAGTTGTTGAACTTTACGTGATGGAGCCATAGCAGAAAGAATGCTATTTCTGTAAAATAAACAAATGTATAAGGCAAACAAACGACGCTACAAAGGTTAGTAGTGGGGCGGATAAGCCCACAATTTTGTAATAACATCTGCAGTTAGTGGAAAAAGCACCATATTGACGGCAGTATCTGATAATGAATATTAGATATGGAGACATCTGTGAAATTAACGCTAAAAAGCTTATAATTTTGAATTTCTAAATTTGAATATAAATTTCTATTACTAATAGAAATTTTAAAATTACAAGTTAGCTCACAGAACAAATAGAACAAGTTAGTAACAGAACAAGTTGGCTGAAAACAAGAGCGGGCGCGTAGGCTGAAGTCAGGAGTGGGCACATAGAGGCTCACGGGAAGGACGAAGGGAAAATAAGCGACTGGAAGATTACCGTGATTTTCTTGCAAAAAAGTGTTTATCTTGTAAACTAATATTTTATGCCTTAAGTTTGAATTTTTTGAAATTGATATACATAAATGGATGATTTTATGATGTAGTATACGGAAAGTTCGTATTTTTATCAAGAATATCGGCCTTCAATTGGTCAAGTCTGGCGAACTTCAAAATGGCGGACTCCGATCCGATGAACATTTCATTGTCTCATTCTGCTCAATGAACTTAGATGGCGTGTCTAAAAGATAATATACCATATTGTACTACTTGAATTCGTTGACCCTTTGAGCGAAGAAACTGGACTTTATTATACGCTAGGCTGATTTAATAGCGACATGTAACATGTTGCCTTGTTTCAAAGTTGTAATTTTTAGACTTCAATTTCATAAATTCAGAATTTCCTAAGACCAGACGAATGTTCTAAGACAAGAATTTAAATTCACTGGATTACCAATAACAAAATGCAGGACAGTTGTTCAAGGTTGGTTGTATTTTAAGTCACTTCAAACGCTCTTCAACACAGCATCACTAATAAGATCTAACAATGTAATTGTTTGAATGTGCAGGTGATGTTGACACATTTGTTCCTGGAGATCTTCAGGGTTCTTTAAACGATATATTCATTGAAAGAGAGGGGGGGGGGGGAGAGTCAAGCAAGAAGAGATATTGGACATACTTGGTGTTACTGGTGACCGTAGTGTAAAAAGCAAAAAAGCCGCCATTCAAGAGCTTTGGCAGCCATATTTCCTAACTGTGGAAAGAAAAGGGCGTTGTGCGAAGATAAACAAATATATCCGTTTTACATGTGTAAAGGCTCATGTGCATAACATGATCTATGCAACTCATTACATTGTATGACAAATAATATAATATTTTTAGTTGGTATATTGTTTTCGTCCTTAATATTGTACTACAGTGTATACAAACATCACAATGAAGCATGATTTAGCTGTTGAAAAACCAGTTGACATCTGAGTTGAAGCAGGACTGAAAGAGAGGATAAAAGACTTGGAGGCAATGATGACGAATGTTTGGGAAGATTCACATTTGGCATTGGAAGAAGAGGATTGAATATATATTTGTTTTATATAGGTGAGAAAAAGTGAAGGGTGGGCCACTGGTTTACCTAAAGACATTAAAACATACAGCAATTATCTGCAGAACCGATTAACTTTCAAGCAGATATGCATATGGTCTATCACATGCAGTTGAATAATCATACACATTTATCCCCAGTTGTTAATTATGGATGTGCTCAATCGCATATTCTTGACCTTTACATGGTGTAAAATATTTATTTCGTCAAAATGTTAATCCCCGAGCCAACGGCCGTTCCGGGCGTAAGCCCGGGGCGAGGGTACTAACTCCGCCCGGCTATTTACACCCGGGAAAACGAAAGCATCAGCGAAGTCTGAAGTTCGTCAATGATCGCGGGCGTGGGTGACCAACGGCGTTTGGGTGTTGGGTGGGTGGTCATCCTCACTGATCTCAAAAATATGGCGGACTGTCATGAATAGCGAACACTGATTGGTCAAATTTAAAATTTGTATTATAACGACTGCATGACGACAGCGAAATAGCAAACATTTGAACATTTCTTGCCCTTGATTTGATGATTTCTTGCAAATATATTTTATTTGTGCAAGATTTTGTAAATCCGTTCTTTTATGTCAGCGGAAGACCATGTGAAAATAGCCTGCAAAGAAGGCGCGTCGAAGGGCGAAAATGTTTATACGAAAATATTACGAAAGTTATGGCTGCAGTTATGGTATTTAAAAGTATTTAAAAACAGTGTTTTAGTGTTTATATGCAAATTAGCAAAACAGAGAAGACAAAAGCCCGTTTACACTACGCTCAATTTTGGTACGGCACGGATAAAATTGGTACCCGTATCACATTTTTGGTTCTTGGACTACCTATTTAGGTAGTCTAAGAACCAAAAAGTGGCACGGTACCAAAAATTGAGCGTTGTGTGAACGGGGCTTGGCTAAATAGGTAGTCCAAGAACCAACTAAGTGGTACGGGTACCAATTTTATCCGTGCCGTACCAAAAATTGGGCGTAGTATAAACAGGGCTACAGGCTACCTATTCACAGATTTTACAACCATACAGGTACGCTAAGTCTCGAAAAGAATACAGCTGTGCTCCCTTGGTGTAGGTGTTTTGATCTTCTTTCGAGTATGAGCCGGGCAAGCAGAAAATTAATTCTACTTGACCACGGCTGGGAATAGAACTCGCGACCTTCGCATTTCTAGAACGACGCTCTACCTTCTGAGCTACAAGGCCAAGTTGGGAACGATATGTAATTTATTTGTGATCACGCTCTATCTATATGGTATTGAGCACTGTTTGTGTTTCGTAAACCAAAAAACTTAACTATTAGTTGCATTTCGGAGGTTAGTCCTTCAATGCGTAAAGCCAGCTATATATATATATGTATATGTGTATATGTGTATATGTGTATATGTATATGTATATGTATATGTATATATGTATATGTATATATGTATATGTATATGTATATGTATATATGTATATGTATATATATATATATATATATATATATATATATATATATATATATATATATATATATATATATATATATATATATATATATATATATATATATATATATATATATAATGTTATAATGTTTATCGTTCCGCTTGATTTCATCTGCTAATATAGAATAACAAGCCGGAAATTCAGTATGTTCATTAGCCGTGTTTTCACTAAGAGTGGAATGTAAAGCCTCTAAGAAAATCCTTTGTTCGTAGTTCTTAACTCCCTTTTCTAATATTACAGCGTCTGATTTTGCAGCGTTGTGACCAGTGCATTCAGCGTGTTCCTTTATTGTCGAAAAAATTCTCTTTCTAACTCCCGGTTTGTGTTATATATATATATATATATATATATATATATATATATATATATATATATATATATATATATATATATATATATATATATATATATATATAATTTCGCTTACCTCAAAATTCCGCAACAGTCTGTTTCATCAGTAAAGAATTCCGCAACAGTCTGTTTCATCAGTAAAGTACCGCCTGATGATTCTTTACTGATGAAACAGACTGTTGCGGAATTTTGAGGTAAGCGAAATTCTACATTTGCTCTATCTTTATGATATTGAGCACTCTTTGCGTTTCGTATTCATAAACCTACTCGTATATATATATATATATATATATATATATATATATATATATATATATATATATATATATATATATATATATATATATATATATATATATATATATATATATATAAATATATATATATATAAATATATATATATATATGATTTTTTTCCTGGAGATTCTACTCATGATGTAATGTAATGTGTAGGTGTTTTGATCTTCTTACGACTATGAGCCGGCCAAGCAGAAAATTAATTCTACTTGACCACAGCTGGGAATCGAACCCGCGACCTTCGCATTTCTAGAACGACGCTCTACCTTCTGAGCTACAAGGCCAAGTTGGGAACGGTATGTAATTTATTTGTGATGTTAATGACATGAACGAATTTCTTTCTTTCCATGCCTGGTGCCAGGTATTAAACCAGCGAATGTTGTATGTGATTTTTTCCCTGAGATTCTACTCGTGATGTAATGTATAGGTGCTTGACCTTCTTACGAGTATGAGCCGGGCAAGCAGAAAATTCGTTCTACTTGCCCACGGCTGGGGAATCGAACCTGCGACCTTCGCATTTCTAGAACGACGCTCTACCTTTTGAGCTACAAGGCCAAGTTGGGAACGAAATGTAATTTATTTGTGATGTTAATGACATGAACGAATTTCTTCCTTTCCATGTCTGGTGCCAGCTATTAATCCAGCGAATGTTGTATGTGATTTTTATTACATCACGAGTAGAATCTCCAGGAAATTTTTTTTTAAAAAATCACATACAACATTTACTGGTTTAATAGCTGGCACCAGGCATGGAAAGGCAGAAATTCGTTCATGTCATTAACATCACAAATAAATTACATATTGTTCCCAACTTGGCCTTGTAGCTCAGAAGGTCTCAGAGCGTCGTTCTAGAAATGCGAAGGTCGCGGGTTCGATTCCCAGCCATGGTCAAGTAGAATTAATTTTCTGCTTGCCCGGCTCATACTCGTAAGAAGATCAAAACACCTACACATTACATCACGAGTAGAATCTCCACGAAAAAAAATCAATCACATACAACATTCGCTGGATTAATAGCTGCATGGCACCAGCCTTCGAATTACTAGATCGACGCTCTACCAACTGAGCTACACGGTCAGACGGATTTAAGACTGGAAATTATGAAATATATACTGAATGTCATAAACATATTATTATTATTATTATTATTAGTTTAATAAAATCCATTTTGCAGCTAAAGCTGAATTGCATGGAAAAAATATTTACAATATTAAATATTAAAATTTACGTTAACAATGTTATATACTTATTATTAACTACCTATTATAAAAATGTATTAATAAAATGTTAACTATTATATGTATATGTTGTTAACTATTATATTAATTCAGCATCGAACAATACTAGTTCTGCAAGTGTTATGTTAGTTGTGTAATTGTACACTCCGTAATATGTTAAGATGAAAATGTTCTAGAATGTGTATTATATAATTTCCATACCCAGCGCAAGCAGAAAGATGTTGTCTGCCGCGGCTGGGTCTTGAACCCGCGACCTTCGAATTACTAGATCGACGCTCTACCAACTGAGCTACACGGTCAGACGGGTTTTTCACTTGCAGAACTAGTATTGTTCGATGCTGAGTATGTTTACGACATTCAGTATATATTTCATAATTTCCAGTCTTAAATCCGTCTGACTGTGTAGCTCAGTTGGTAGAGCGTCGATCTAGTAATTCGAAGGTCGCGGGTTCAAGACCCAGCCGCGGCAGACAACATCTTTCTGCTTGCGCTGGGTATGGAAATTATATAATACACTCTACAACATTTTCATCTTAATATATATATATATATATATATATATATATATATATATATATATATATATATATATATATATATATATATATATATATATACCATATAGATAGAGCGTGATATAGTTTTTCGGTTTACCTATATATACATATATATACACATATATATATATATATATATATATATATATATATATATATATATATATAT